AAGGTTAAAGTGCTGTTTGAAGACTGTAAGTTAAAATAAAATTATTTTAAAAAAAATGAACCAGTAATATATTGATTGACTTCAACCATCATCGCTACATCTTTGAAATGTAGAATTATTATTAAGTAATTAGTAATAGTAACTTATGTCTAAATCACTCAATTATGCTTACTGCACAGCAATGTTCCCTCTAAGGTTTGTTGGTTCGTGTGCAAAATCATACAGTTGTGTGCAAAGTTTTACAGCATCAATTTTTTTGTGTGCAAAATTTTACAGCCCACAAACACACACTTACATGGAAATTTGCTGCGTAGTAATCAAAACTGCTGCGCGGCCTCTGAAAGATAGCTGTGCGGCCGCTCAGCTTAAAGGGAACATTGCTGTACAGTAGGCTTAGTAAATTGAAACATAAAATTTTAAAAAGCAACTGATATATAAGAATTACGTTGTATAACTATTTCCAAATTTTATCAAAGTCATAAATAAAATAAAAATTAGAAAGTCTATTCATTGTTATGGTTTTCAAACTGGGTCATTTTTTATCAATCGTATATGAACGGTGTAATTATATTAAGAAAACATGAGGTATTTACAAGAGACATGATATATTTATTAATGTGACATTTTATCCGAGGAAAATCTAATGATAATAAATTATAAATTTCCCAATATTAAAATGAATGAAATGTTTATTTGGAAATTCAAACTATTATAATTTTCTTCAGATACATGACAAATCGCCTTTTTAAAAACCAAATCCATATAAGTTATTTTAAAATTGACGATTTAGAAAAATTTTTTCTCTCTAAAACTTGTATCAAACCAAAAATATAATTGACATAATAATCGAAATAGTAGTTCATATAATTTTATTATTTATTATTATTATTATTATTTTTTTGGGAGTTAAAATAAAGCTTTGTAACTTCTAACTGGATTCTCAGCTAAAAAACTAATTTAAAAAGTGCGTGCGAATAGGTGGAACAAATTGTTTATTATTTTAATATTAAAAAGAGAAAATTAGTTGGGAATTCAATAAATATAGGCTAACTCTATAAATAAAATTTGGGAATTCAATAAATATAGGCTAACTATTTTATTCAGGAAACTGTGTTACAAAAGTCTCACATGTAAAAAAAATTTTTTTTTTAAAAAGCGCTTTCGATTTACTAATTGTTCCAACGTGCCCTAGACTATTTGTCGTGTGCGCGCTTTAAATTCTTATTTATTTTTTAAATTATCAATTTTTTTTTTTTTTTACAGTTTTCCCTTCATCCAGCTCAACTTTCCTGGAATCGACTACATTAAATATTATGCTAATAGCTATATTTTTCAAATCCTAATGATTAATGACATCATGCAATTTATAGTTAACACCTGTCTCTACTATAAATTAATATAAATCTCATGATTTTATGATGATTTATATTTCGAAAAGAGATTACACATGTTAAATACTTAGCAGAATAATATTAAAATTATATACCGATAGTTTAATACAGTGTTTTTAAAAGTCTTTCGCAAATTACGTCACGCAAAAAATACCTTTTCTGACCTAATACTCTTTATCTCCACAACAAAATACACAATCTA